TTCCTTCTCTCACTATCTGGCCTATTATGTGTTATTCCGGTTCCCGATATCTGAAACAGCACCGAAGGAGGCCCTGCTGCAGAAACAGTCACCTTCGGAAGCCATTAGAAAACGTCATTGGAGATCGCCGGTCGCCAGGACACCTGAGATCCAGCTCGCCGTCCTATGATGCTGTGGACGGTCCTGCCTGGATGCCGTAAACCCAGTCAAACTCCAGGAGCTCATTAGTGCAGGTATCAGTCGCCCTACGATGTCGAAGAGGACGCTTCCTGCCGGACGCCCGTAGATCCTGACGAAGATTACGAGGACGTCTGTACGAGCGCGCAGCCGAGAAGGACCTGGACGGAGATCTGCGAGACGTGCATTGGGCGAATAAGCCGCCGAATTTGACCTGTACGCGGACTACGAGGATGTCTGGGCGAGGACCTGCACGAGACCAGTCGAGGACATGAGGATGTCGAGGACGAACGGATTCCCAGGGACTAGAGCGAGGATGACGACACAGAACGAGCAACCACGGAGATGCACTAAGGATACCGCACCCGAGATCGAGGACGAGAAAGTAGGAACCAGCCAGGTTGGGTCGCGCTTGAGGAAGTCTAGAGCGCCTAGAGGACAAGCCGTGAGTAGGTGGCCGAGCAATATACTGTGCATTATATCGGTATTATATGCCTGCGTGGCCCTGGAGGCTTGCAGTGGCCACGTGGCGACACGCCCTGGCTACCAAGCGGCGTGCCGACAACGGCTGGGTGGTCCTCCTCGCCTCTCCCCCAAGCCAGTGTCTCGGATACGTTTTGACCCGGTCAAGTGAGAGTGTAACCCGGCGCGGTCAAGGTCACAGCAGCCCGCTGGGATGGTCTGCCGTTGAGGTGAGCTCGCCGGTGGCCCCAAGTGACCAGCCCATAACCCAAGACTGTCATCGTTGTGTTTATCCACTGAGTGCTGAACTCTTATCAATAAAGGGTTTTTAAGCCACCAAGCTTTTACTACTCCCTGTCACCAATGTTAAGAAGTCCCTTCTATAACTCTTACATTCTGGTGGCAGGCGGTGGTAGTTGCGTCCTTTTGGCATACAACTGAATCATCCTCCGAAGAAAAAACCGCTCGGCTTCGACGAACGCAAGACGACATTTCTTCAAGAAACCCGTGAGTACACATTTTGGGCCTTTCTCGTTTCATTTCTTTTTCTATTTTTTCCTAAATGTGTTAGGCCGTGCACAGCCAGCTCACGTTAGTTTTTTGGGGTTAAATTACAGCAACGGCTCGCTCTCATTCTCATCTCATTTTCTTGACCTCACACCTCATTACTGTGTGGTAAAGTATGAGGCCAAACATTATGAAATCATTTATCTATTAAGTGTCTATTTAATTTTTTTTCGTGTTTAAATTATAATGTTTCAATTGTATCGAATTTAGCGCGTTCGTGAATTTATTCTTTCACGAATATTCACTCATTAAATTCATCTCTCTCCATTTTCTGTCTTGACCTGACCTCACCTGAAAGTCATTAATCAGAGCCCATTCGGGGACAGCTGTCGTGACCTGACCTGACCTGGCCATTCTTCGAATAGCTGGGGGCAGTTCTGACCTCACTTTCACTAGGAGTGATTGACACGATAATGGTAGAGAAAAACAGCTTGCCAATTCCCTTTTAATTGTTTGAACTAGTTATCACAATATAGGGTTAATGCATAGCAACCGTTACATGTTCATGGTGACAAGTTCTATCGGCGCTAGAACGGAACTTGTAACGCGACTTGTACGATTAAATATAACGCCAAGAGGTATTCTCATTGTAAGGTTGCAATTATGCGTAATGACTCACGTATGAGATTAGGTTAAGGTAACTGAACTAAATCATACGTTCGGCAAACTTTTCACAAGACGATGGTAGCTCAAGAGGATCCTTGCGGATCGTTATCACCGTCTCCCTCTCTTATTTTCTTCTTTTAACTTACTTTAACTTTGTGAACACAAAACACAAAATGAAAAAAATACGAAAATAACGAAAATTCAACTTTAAAAAACTGCAAATTTTGAAACAAAAAATCGGCTTGTAGCATTTAACACCTCTTCTCTGTCGTTTTTCCTTCTCTCACTATCTGGCCTATTATGTGTTATTCCGGTTCCCGATATCTGAAACAGCACCGAAGGAGGCCCTGCTGCAGAAACAGTCACCTTCGGAAGCCATTAGAAAACGTCATTGGAGATCGCCGGTCGCCAGGACACCTGAGATCCAGCTCGACGTCCTATGATGCTGTGGACGGTCCTGCCTGGATGCCGTAAACCCAGTCAAACTCCAGGAGCTCATTAGTGCAGGTATCAGTCGCCCTACGATGTTGAAGAGGACGCTTCCTGCCGGACGCCCGTAGATCCTGACGAAGATTACGAGGACGTCTGTACGAGCGCGCAGCCGAGAAGGACCTGGACGGAGATCTGCGAGACGTGCATTGGGCGAATAAGCCGCCGAATTTGACCTGTACGCGGACTACGAGGATGTCTGGGCGAGGACCTGCACGAGACCAGTCGAGGACATGAGGATGTCGAGGACGAACGGATTCCCAGGGACTAGAGCGAGGATGACGACACAGAACGAGCAACCACGGAGATGCACTAAGGATACCGCACCCGAGATCGAGGACGAGAAAGTAGGAACCAGCCAGGTTGGGTCGCGCTTGAGGAAGTCTAGAGCGCCTAGAGGACAAGCCGTGAGTAGGTGGCCGAGCAATATACTGTGCATTATATCGGTATTATATGCCTGCGTGGCCCCCACGTGGCGACACGCCCTGGCTACCAAGCGGCGTGCCGACAACGGCTGGGCGGTCCTCCTCGTCCCCCCCCCCCAAGCCAGCGTCTCGGATACTTAAGGCCGCGTTTTGACCCGGTCAAGTGAGAGTGTGACCCGGCGCGGTCACAGCAGCCTGCTGGGCTGGTCTGCCGTTGAGGTGAGCTCGCCGGTGACCCCAAGTGACCAGCCCATAACCCAAGACTGTCATCGTTGTGTTTATCCACTGAGTGCTGAACTCTTATCAATAAAGGGTTTTTAAGCCACCAAGCTTTTACTACTCCCTGTCCCCAATGTTAAGAAGTCCCTTGTGTGTGTGTGTGTGTGTGTACATATTTATATAAATTTGTTTATCTATCTATTTATATGTGTGGTTATAAAATATTGTACATGTAAACTGAGGAGTAATGCATTAGGGACAGCTCTATCGTAATCGAGTTCGGTTTATATCGTAGTAATAGGAGAATAGCCACACGGCTGAACAAAGTGCATCGCAGTATGTATTAACATTCCTTTTCGTGACAGGTGCTGCAGGCCGTGCGCACTGGCGAGAGTGGAGGCGTGGAACACGTAACCGTCGAAGGAGTGCATATTCACGTCGGGTCTGCAATCTCGCGCACTCAGGTATTCGCAGACATGACAAGAGTCGCCGTGCGTACGCTGCGTGAGGTTGGTTTCCCCGAAGGCGAAATTTCGACTTTAGGTTTCTCTCGCCGTTGCTTCTTCCATTACTTCCATTCTTCTTCCATTCCATTATTGTAAATTTTATTATTGATGTTGGTTTGTCGTTATTTATTGATGTTATTTGTATTAACATCATTACCATCAGTAATGGATGGGTTGTAATATCAGGGTTATGATTATCTGTGATGTTACTAGCATCTGCCATGTCACATGGCAGATGAAGAATCCACATAAACAATCAGGCCGCACGACCACAAACAACATTCTCTTTTTCCAAATGTCAAGTGAAACTTCAAGTGAAACAAAATGACTGAACTTATTGGGATGATGAAATGCATAGACACGTTTTGTCGGCATCGCCTATCGTGTGCCCTTTCCGAACTTTAAGCCTTTTTTTGTAACATTTCCGAAACCATTTTTGATACATGTTTGTCCTTTACGCTTACATTATTGAAACCTGTTGAAATTTCTTTTCAGTTTGTATCAGAGTGTATGCCTTCACCTTGATATAGCGCGATATTTTTCAAATATATTTCCCGCAATCTAAGACAGGGATTTATATTTTTATTAATTACAAACTCCATCTTGAGTTTCTTGATAAAACTTTTTATTGTAAAGGTGAATAAAATGGTTATGTGTCTTTCTAGCAATACATCAAATACATATTTATACCATATAGGTAAGAATTGAAGTCAATCATGACGGTCGCTGGAGCGACATGGTAAGAATTTCTGTCAGAGTCATATGACATGGTATTAACTTCGGTGGTATGGATGTCTTCAAAATCACTCTGTATCTCTATTATGTAACCTTACAGGTTCAAAAATATAAAATAAAAGGCTGTGTATCTTGATTTGATATAATTTAATCAATAAGTCAAGTAGATTTCCGTGATCACTGGTATTACACAGTTGTCTGATTTAGATACTGAACTCAATCGCGGTGGATACCATAAGATGCAAACCTTATCCTACTTCCACTTTTTATGTGAATAATATAATATGCTGAATCTGAGAAATACATTTAACCTTTCCACAGCCTTGCTAAGCGGAGAGTGGTGTGGATAAACAATATAAGTAGCAGAGTAGCCAGGTATTTTTCCATTCTATTTGAAGCTTCCACATGTAATTAATCATACTAGCATATTAAAAGGCCTTTTTTGTAGCTTCCTAAAACCCCTAACACTTTTGATACATTGTTTCAAGTTGTATCGCGGTCGCTACAAAACACGATATCATCGAAGTTTCTTTTTAACTTAAAGTCAATAGAAAGCCATTAAAGTACAAGATATGTTGGTATGATTCTTATTTAGAAGTAAAACATTGTGGAAGGTTTATATTAAATGGAGAAAGTACCTGACTCCTCTGAAACTTTTATTGTTTATACACACTACTATTCGGTCTGCAAGGTTGTGGCAACTTTCTAGTATATTTCTCAGATTCAGTCAAAACATTTTTTCTTATTACATAAAGTATTTTTCATATGAAAAGTGGAAGTTGCATGACGTTTTCCTCTTATGGCATCTACCACAAGTGCGCTCCGTGTCCGAATCAAACTAGATAATCCCAATGATCATGGACAGTTCCTTGGCTTATTGAATGAATTATATCAACAAATCAAGAAGCACAGAGTTTTCTTTTATATTTTTGAGATGGAAGGTTATATCATATCAAAATGAATTTGAAAACATTCACCCCACCAAAATCAATACCACGTCATATGACTCGGACACGTTGGAAATTCTTACCATGTCGTTCCAGCGACCATCATGACAGACTTCAAATCTAAAGTGAACATGAATTTAATGTACTGCTAAAAAGACACAGATATATTTTATGCACCTTTATAATAAAAGGTTATATAATGAAACTTACGATGCTATTCGTAATTAATGAAAAATTAATTATCTGAGACCTCGTGAAATGTATCTGAATAATATCGTGCTCTGATTGGCTGGCTGGAGTGTATCAAACTGCATCAAGCTGCAGGCATACACTTTGATACAAACCGAAAAGATGTTTCAACAGGTTCCAGTAATGTATGCATAAAGGGCAAACATGTATCAGTGTGTATTGAAGTGTTTGTGGGTTCAGAAATGTTACAAAAAAGGTCTTAGGTTCTTTAATGGTTTTCTATTGACTTTATATTTAAAAATATAATGATGAAAACTTTTTTCAAAACTTTGTATGAATGTACTTACTTTGATGATATCGTGTTTTATAGTGGCCGTGATACAACAACGGGTTTTGGGATTATGGTCGGATAAGGGCTACTATGTGTAGTACCCATATATATCAGTTAATCATCAATAATACATCTATTGCAGGTCCTGCTGGTGATATATGTAGCATAGACAGACACTGCAAATACTGTTCAGCATATATGGTGAACAGAGTATGGGAGCTACATTAGGCATTTGTGATGATTATGCCATATATTGTCAATAAAACTGGTCATATTAAAAATATCAGATCAGAAAAGTGAAGTGTTCAGCAACTAGGACCTGAGGGCGAAACTGTTAGAAATTTTTAAAACTCTTTCCACTTTGAAAATACTGGTAATTGAATAAATATGTAATAATGCTTTATTTAGGGTTGGCAAAAGATCCAATCTCTGAAACAGTTTTAGAATTCTATGATTAAACACTTACCTTCCATTTTTATGCTATTACTCATGGCTTGTCAGTGTCTTGTACATACATATAAAAACTATACGTGAGTCTGAACTTTTGTGGATACGTCAGTTTATTAGATACACGACTGCAGTTCCCGCCACAGATTCGAGAACGAGGATGGCCGAGGGCGTCCATCATCAATCTGGGAGGTGGACTCAACATCCAGCTGTCAGGAGTACCAGGGAAGAACGAGGAGCGCCCTGCAACCCCAGAGAAACTCGTGGGTGCAATCCTTCCTCTCCTCCCTGAGGGTTCTACGCTCTTGCTGGAACCTGGCAGATCTCTTGTGGCAACGGCTGGTGAGGTCAAAATTGACATATACAGCCTGACTACAGTGTTTCGTTCACCACAGAATTTAGCACGGTGTGGTGTTAACAAGCTCTTGTGCCTTTACAGGTGTATTGATGACAGAAGTGTTAGGGATGAAGACCAATGGAAAGCGCAGGTTCCTCGTGGTGGATGCTGCTATGACTGAAGTCATTCGCCCTGCCCTGTACGGAGCCCATCACCCCGTGACTCACGTGACTATACCGGCTAGTCAGGTCAGTACACAGACAACGCTATCCACGTGAACTGGATCTTTTATGTTCAGTCTGTAACTTCTCCAATGTCATAGGTTTCTGACCAGCATACACTATGGAAAGGCAATAACTAATTTCATTCAGCTATGAATCAGTTTTAAAAGGCATGATTTATCGGCCAGTTGTCAAGAAAGGCACCAAACAGACTCAAAAAAGGAAAAAATTAAATTATTATTTCAGTATTGGAGCCCTTTGAATATTAGTTCGGAACTGGTAGATCCCAGTGGAATAGCTTATTTACAAATATTACAGTTATCAAAATACTAGGTAATACTAGGTCATCAATATAGAGAAGATGATACTTAGGTGTTAGTGGAGAGTAATTCTGATTAACGTACAGACCATGCGGGGAAAGGAACTTTTACAGTGTTTCTGACCGGCTACATTTTTACATCTATTATATTATAACCATAGAGTATATTACTTTTTTTTATAAATATTTTTCTCTGTCAATAGGATTTTAATAAGGTTGATCTGAAGGAAAGTCAATATGTTTTTAGAAAGCTCGTTTTCCTTTATCAAAATAGGTCACTACATCATCGGTCCATCTCAGTAGTAGCAGCAGGGATAGGGGGGAGGAGGGTTGGAACCTCTAGGCTAGTACAATGGTAAAGTGTCAGCTTTCAAAGTTGTCTGGAGGTTACTGCTGTGGTTGGGCACCACGGTGGGTAAGGACTAAGCTCAGCCGAGTCAGCATTAGCTGACATACTCTAACCGAGTTGGCAAAAGCTGGGTTACCCTCATAGACATACCCCAGGCGAGCTGCAGCTTTGCATGTCAGACTTATCCTTATCCTTAGGGCTGTGACTGACACTTTCTCACTGTTATTCGTTGACGTTGGTGTTATCGCATTTAGTTGGTATGCATTCGCTTATAATTTTAGTTTTATTTCTATAGTTTTAAGTAACTTTACTTAGGAAGATGTTCTTTTCCCGTGTTCTCTTTCCCCACTGCCTGTTCCCCAACAGGAATGGGCTGTGATGGATGTCGTTGGGCCAGTGTGCGAGAGCGGAGACTTCCTCGCCCGCCGTTGCATGCTCAGCCTAAGCCTTTCCTCTGGTGCCGCTCTCGTGGTTTGGGCAACAGGGGCGTACTGTTCCTCCATGGCTTCCAATTATAACTTGCGCCCGCACGCCATCGAGGTCATTGTAAAGGCGCCCGACCTCTACACTGTCGTGAGGAGGCCAGAAAATTTTGAAGACCTCATTTCATGTTACTTGTAGATGGTGATGCTTGATTTGAATGGTAGACGCCATTTACAGCAGAAGGAGGCAAGGCTTATTTCTTAATAGCCAATACAAAAACCGGCATTTTAACTGAAAGACTGCTTATGTGCCACACACACACACACACACACACACACACACACACACACACACACACACACACACACATATATATTTACATATATATGGTTGTGCCGAGGCGTCGCCCAGCCGGAGCCCCACAAATAGGGTCAATCTGCGGCGAGCGTGCCGTGTAGCGGCCTGGAACATCCTCACTCTCTGAGGATGATCGACTGCCTTTGTTGTCAGGGGAGCTGGGGAGGCTAAGGATTGCCATTGCTGCTCTCTCTGAGGTGCGACGGCCTGGTAGTGGTGAGACCAGTAGTAGGGGTTATACCTATTACTGGTCTGGCTGTAGCAATGGTGCACGCCTTAGGGGAGTCGCGTTGGCTATCTCTGACCGCTTCCGTTCCTCAGTCAAGAAGGTTACCCCTGTTGATGAGCGCATTCTGCTTGTGAGAATAAAGCACACTTTGGGACTCATATCTCTAGTGGCAATTTACGCTTCTACTGAGGGAAGTGGGCTTGAAGGAAGAGATGTTCTACACCATCTATAGTGGATCATTGTCCCCGGGGGACACCCTCATGGTCTTGGGGGACTTCAATGCAGTCACTGGCATTGACAGGGAAGGATACATGCTATGCATCAGGCTCTGGTACTAGGAACATCAATAGCTCATACCTCTTAGACTTCGCAAGATTTAGGAGGCTGAGGATTGCGGGCTCATGGTACCAGAGGCTAGATCTACACCACTGGACTTGGTATTCCAATACTGGCATTGTAGCTAATGAGATCGACCATATTCTTGTGGATACTCGCTGGAGGATCCTTCAGAACTGGAGTTTTTTAGGAATGCTGAGTTCTTTGCTACCGACCACAGACTTGTTGTTGCAACACTAAGGCTCTGCCTCAGATCCAGATGCATCCCAAGGTCTCACCAGCAAGTGTTCCATCTCGAGAGGCTCAAGAGTGAGGAGGTGGCTCAGGAGTATGCAGTGGCGGTCTCAAAACGGTTTGAAGTGCTTGGCACACTACAGTACCCTACTGAACTATGGGTTACCTTTAACAATGTCAGCTGCCGAGGAGTGCCTTGGGGTCCGACCTCGGTGAAGGAGGCCTGTTGTCTCGGATGAGACACTGAACACTATAGCGATGAGTCATGCTGCCAGACTGTCTTACACAGGGAGTTGTCTCACTCTGCCAGGGCCTCTTTGAGAATGGACCAAGAGAGGTATGTTAGTGACATCGTAGAAGAGTTGGAAGGTCATTTTGCCCAAAATTACCTTCGACCTGCTTTCTGAGCCCTGAGGGAAGTCCGGTCAAAGTCCATCTCTTAACTGGGCTCGGTGAGGGCAGAGGATGGTCGCATTGTGTCAGAGCCGGGTGAGTATTTTGAACAACTGTATAGGGTAGATCCCCCATCATCACAACTCCCGTTGGCTGGCACACAGCCACTAGTGGCTGATCCACCAATCAGTGAGACACCACCTTCCATCGAGGAGGTGAGAAGGGTGGTCTCTAGGCTGTGTGGAAAGGCTGCTGGTGTCTTTGGGATTGCTGTGGAGTTGTTGAAGGCAGGTGGCAATGATCTGTGGCTTGCATGCAGTCCTGTCTGCCGTTTGGGAGACTAGTACCATTCCTCCTGACTGGAAAGGGGGCCTCGCTCATCCGCTTTTGGCACAGATGCGTGATCACCTTTTACAAGCACAGAGACCTGAGCAGTCTGGTTTAACACCCAAGAAGTCAACTGTAGACCGTTTCTTAGCATTTCGTGTCCTTGTGGAACGCCGACTTGAGTCTCAATAAGATATGCTTGCAGCTTATGTTGATCTCCAGAAGGCTCAAGAGTCTCTGAATCCTACTGGGTCTCTGTGGGATCCCCCCTGGGATTATTGGTTTGCTGTCTGGCCTGTATATAGATACCGAGAATGCTGTCAGGTGTGGGGAGAGCATCTCTGACCCAACCCTTTTCAATACTTGTATGGACTG